TTCACCTGTTCGCGCGTGCTATCAGCACCAGGGTGATGACGGAATAAATCAAAAGGGTCTGGCTGCAGCTTGGCGCTTGCACTCTCAGACAGCAAGCCAAAAAAAAATAAAAATAGACGCACTTTCTCTCCAAATCATACGCGCTGCAGGCAGGCAGGTCTTATCTTTTACATCTCTGTGCTGGGCTGTGGACTGCAATAGGTCAGGTTACATGACACTCTCGCTCAGTGGGCCAGTCAGAGCTGTGAAATTTGACACCTCTTTTTCAACAGCGGGGGAAGGGTGGGCGAGGGGGCAGACACCGCATCCGGATCCGGGATAGCTCTGCAAGCTGTCTGTGTGTGGTGAAATTTGACACCTCTGTGTCAACAGAGCGGGAGGGTGGTCGAGGGGGCAGACACGTATCCGGATCCGGGACAGCGCTCCTCGCAGCGTGTTGTTGTTTGGGACTTGTAGTTTCGGAGTGGTTTGAGAGCAAAACGGCCACGCGGAAAAGCAAATGTGGCTCGGAGAATATCAATCTATGATAATCATATTACAAGTTGTATATGATGAAGAACGTTCAGCGGCGCCGTGGAGAGGAATGGACGCGCGTCTGGTGAGGCTTTATCAGCGTGTTTTCTCCGTTTGTGATCTTTTAATCTTTATTTTGAAACATGATAGCACAGCTAACAATCTGATAAACTGTTTATTGACAGAAAAGAACAGTACATGATGCATTTAAGTAAATATACAGTAAATATACATGGATTATCTGAAAGAATAAAACTGATTGTAGAAAACACAAAATGTGAAATTTGGTCCAATTCGCTTATGCCATTTTGTATATTACTACTTAGAAAAACATAAAAATGAAACATAATTCAATCAATAATCAAGAAAAGTGCTTATGGCACATAGTAAAATAGAATTCTGGGGGTAATGTGTTTTATAAAGTTTTTGCAAAGGAAACTCAAAATGACACATGTATATGCAAAAAGGACAATTTTACTTGCTTCACTTATAATGCAATAACTCCTGTTTAGAAGCTGTTATTTGAAAGATTATTTTTTTCTGGTACATTTTGGCATCTAGTGGCGTCAAACAAAGTAAATTGCAAAGAGCTGGACCTAATAGAACCTGAATGACAGACTTTCAAATAAAACATTTTTTTTTTAAATCAAAAAGTGCCTATGTTTTATTTTGTGTTTACTGTAATATTTGAAATATATATAATGTTATTTATAAAGAATTACACTCATATTTTGAAGTTCAAAGGGTGTTCTTTACAATGAAACCATTTTTTAAAATTTCCTCCATTGTATGCGTGTAGGGTAAACATTTGAATTTGAGTATGTCAAATTTAGGCGAAAATACCAAAACACTCCCCAGAGTTTAAGTGGGTTAGGTTTTAATCCAGCATAATCCGATTTGAGAAAGCAGTGGCTGGTAATTATACTGATTGTTTCACCACCTGGTGTCAGTGCTCTAAACTAGAAATCGCGATACTGCAGTATGTGTGAGATCTGATGAATAAGATCAGAATGAACCTTTCTTTGTCTATTAAATATATTTAGTCACTATTCTGTGTTATTTTTCATTAACAATCATTTCACTCTATACAATGCCAAAATATGAATATTCAAAGTAGTCGCACTGTCAACGCGTTACTGTTTAAAAATGAATTAAATGTTTATTTAAATGTAAATTTCTTTAAGGCAGTTATAGCGCACATTCATTTAGCCATTTTAAACACTGGAATAAGAGCACCAACGCACACAAGCAATACTGCTCTTACGAAAATTAACCATGGTTTTAAACTAAATAAAACCAAAAAATTGTAGTTAAACCATAGTAACCACAAATTAACCCGAGTTTTGCTAAACTAACCATAGTTTAACCATGGTATTTGTAATAAAATTGTGGTTATACAAATGGTAATCTGCAAAAAAAAAAAAAAGGTTACTACACTTTTACCATAGTAAAACCATGGTTCATTTTTACGTCATTAGCTTGATTTCATGCTCATAGTGTGAATGGGGATTAATTCATCACTAGCAGACGAACAATTTGTGGTGGGGGGTAACAGGTGATGGTGACAAATATACTCCAATTACTCCCCATAAAAATTGATCAATTTAGTCAGCTGTCTGCGAACCATCTTGCCAGATTTTGCTTTTTCGGTTTCCCTTCTTGCATAGTGGTTAAATCTGACTTTGCAATACCACAAGGAGGTCATTTTTACCAATAGATGAATGTGGTTCACTTCAACACATGTTTCAAACATATGGCTGTGGAGATCTGGCACAATGGCACAATCTGAAAGAACCTGATTGACAATGGTTAATGTGACTCCACGTCCAGAGGGAAGCTGACCTCCATTTGTTTTGATCCTCCTCTGAATGCATTTCTCTGTGGTCAGACACACAGATACCATGCCTGGTGATGGTTTCTGCAGACCGCCTCTGTCTTTTAGATGGATGAAATCATGTGCAGGACCATCAGTTGTTAATGCCTGTGAGCAAGGCAAGCAGGTGATTTTCTCCTTCATCTTCTTTACCACAAACCCTGTGATGTAGCTGATCGCTGCCTCTTTGCATTCAGAAAGGCTGCATACATCTGGGAGGTCAGGAAGGGTGTCATCTTCAGGCACACTTTCTTCCACCAACTGAACTTCCATTCTGCAGGCAACATTTACAGCTGCAGGTGTTGAGTTGAGAATGTACGTGTTGTCTCGCAGCAAACAGTTGCCTGTGCCTGTTTTCACTTGGTGCCTTACAAGTAGTCGTTTATATGCTCCCCTGAACTGCCTGGCTTTGGGGTTGTCATTGTGCCCACCCCTCGCTCTTATGGCAGCAAAGAAGAGCTCCAAGTGGTCCTGACTCAGTTTGTAGGTCAGAAGATATCTGCATGGTGCATTGGCTGTCTCAACAAGATCATGGTAGATGTTGAGTGCACTTCTGCCATTAGCAATAAAGCCATATATGGCAGTCTTCTTTTTTGTTGTGTGAAGTGGCACCATCTTGTTGTACCGCTGGACCTTCAACCCACGGAGCATAGTTTCTGCCTGCTTCAAAATGGTCTCAGCCTGGTCTTTAGTTGTTGGCTTGATCGGAGCTTTGAAACCTTTTCCTAGAGGATTTCGGTTGTTCAGTACATCAAAAGCTGCATCTACAGTGCGCACAAATTGCACAGTTGCAGCACAACCCTAGAACTCCTCCAACTTCAAGCCTTGCTCACAGAACTCCATGGCATCTGCCACACTGCTGCTGAAGAGCTGTGCTGCCAGGTGGACTTTCATTTTTTGCTTTCTCCATTGTAAATGAGCCATCCTTAGCTTGTTTCCAAGTCGCAAACCTTCTTTCTCTTGAAGTTCATTGAGTGCTTCAAAGTACTTCCACTTAATCTTCCTTCCATCTTCTGTCTCAAATTCTAGAGAAGATGCAAAGGTATTCCGAAGAAGCTTTAGCATGTGGCATGCATCCAGGAACACGTACTTTAAGTGTAGGGTCCTCAGGATGCAAGAAGTAGGGCTTCATGTTGTTGATATTTAGGTCAGTGCCAAGTTCCCTTATTATAGTCAAGTTGCTTGTGGGGGCATCACACATAAGTGAGACAACTTTAACACCAACCTCATGAAGCCTGCTAAGGCTCTCCCTTATAACATTTGCTTTCTCTTGTCCATCCATACCTGTGATGAGGAAGTATGCTATGGGAATTTTCCATGACTCATTGACAGCTACAACCATGAGGACCAAGGCCTGGGTGGCCAGTGTGTTGTCAATTTCTCCAGTGCCTATGTCCACATAGCCATAGACAATTCTGTCATCTTATGAATGTACATTTCATCCATCACTAGGGCACAGACAGTTTCTTTTCCTATCTCTTTGTTTGCCTGTACGTGACTTTTTAATGCTGTGAAAGATGCCACAGTAAATCCAGGATCGACTGAGATGCTGCTGTACCAATTGCGGATGGTGTGACTGTGTGGCAGAGCTTTATGAAAATTGTCACGGACATACTCGTATGCCTTTGGGGAGTAAAAGTGTAGTGTGGTGGCAAACTGCTTCAGTTCCTCTGAGTACTTTGCTGACTTTTTCCCCTGCTGTATTTTCCGATACGGAAAATATGTATTTTGGCACTTCATTAATTGACTCAAGCAAAGATTCACATTGATTTGATATAAACAGCTTCTTCTTGAGTTCTTTGGTGACACCCTTTAAGGTGCGGACCTTTTTATTTAACCGTCTGGACTTTTGGCTTTGTCTTCTAAGCTTTTTCCTGTAATTTTGTAGAATTTGCTCTGTGTCCTGCTTTTTCCATTTTAAAGTCCTTGGAGACTCTAGGTTGTAGCTGTGATCAACCTGAAAGCAGTCATGTTCCGCGTATTTAGCAGTTGAAGCTGCATAACTATGATCATCATTATTGCTATCCATTGTTACAGCAGTGTCAGCTTGAAAGATGTCATTGCCAAGTGGGATTTTCCTATTGGCATCTTCAGTCAGGGTGGCATTGCTGTAATCGGCAGCAGATTTCACACTAAGGTGGCATTTGTCAACTGGGGAATCCTCTTTAGTGTCCCCTGACAGTTTGCACAATAAAAATCGTACATCTTAAGCCTCGTACACACCGGGACGATTGTCGCGCGTGCTTATCGCCGACGTTTTTCGATGTGTCTTTTGTGTTCATACCCAAGCGATTTTCGCAGGCGATGAGCCGAGTGAAAATGGAAATTCACTCCCTGACATTAGATGGCGCTTAATGAAAAACAGAAATACCCATCGAATCCTATTTGATCTGCAATTCCTCTCCATAACAACTTTTTTGTAAGATTTTTGTAGTCGCTGTCGCGTTTGTCATAAAGCCTTTTGTGTTCAGACACCAATGAGACCAGCAGCTCTACATTCATCTTGCCTCGATGCATCTTCTTGGTCTACTTACTTCCTCTTCGTCGTTAGGTATCAATGTGTGCTCGGCAAGAACGTTTTGTGCTTGAGCACCACCAAGTCATATTTTACTGTAACTTCAGCAGCTCCAGGCACGTGAACAAAAGCGCCAATCTCATTGGTCGGCCAGTTTTTAACGCGGCGCGTCAAACCAAAAAAACGAGCCCGAGGCGATTTTTAAAAAATGATGCTTTTACGCCTCGCGTTTTGCATGTCGGTGTGCACACTCACATTGGCACCCTTTGTTTAGTCACGTCATTATTGCTATCCATTGTTACAGCAGTGTCAGCTTGAAAGATGTCATTGCCAAGTGGGATTTTCCTATTGGCATCTTCAGTCAGGGTGGCATTGCTGTAATCGGCAGCAGATTTCACGCTAAAGTGGCATTTGTCAACTGGGGAATCCTCTTTAGTGTCCCCTGACACTTTGCACAATAAGAGGGAGGAGTCGCTTCGAAAAAATCTTACGTCTTACCCTCTTACCCTCGGACCTCACCAGATGACTTGAGAAGATGGTTGGGACTGCTGTACTCTTAAGGTGACGATTCCCCTAAAGAACCAAAATAGTAAAGAAAAGGAAATACAGAAAAAAATGTAAATATAATTATGTTGGTTAAACCATACTAAATGCCATTGAAATGTGTTCTCAATCTCTTGAGAAAAAGGCTGTCCATTATCAAATGAGGATATCAAATACAAATTTTAAGTTTGAATATTTTTCAAATGTAAAATAAAAATGCTCAGCCAAATACTCAACCGCACAATCAGATTTATAATAAAGCTCAAGTCTGTGAGTCTGTTGAGTCTGTAGGAGTGTCCTATTGTTCCAGCACCTGCCAGTAGCCTATTATACACTGTGATGTAGCATTTTCGACGGAAAAATATCATAATGAGCAAAAATATGCCACAGTGGACCGGATCTCATGCCGAACGGCACGGTGAACGGATGCGCTGTTTCCAATGAATGCAGTAGTGTGCGCGTGAGGCGCCGGCGCGATCAAACAGCTGAAACATAAAATAGACTACTCCGTAATTTTTGGTCATACAGTAAAGGCATAATTCGAAAGTGCAAAGTGTTACCAGTTTGAAAATTCAAGAATAATAGCAAAGTTAATAAGAATTCTTTCTAAATGCAGCACCGTTCTTATTTCGCTCTGCATAACCTGAACGAAAAAAACATTTTTTTTTGCTGAGAACGAACCGAAATTAAAACATTTCGCTTTTAATCTGTGTATTTAACAGCCTGGGAAACCTTCCCAGGGCAGTACCTTGCCTCACCGACTAAAATCAGGGCGCCCACTACGGAGACGGCACCAGAGGTGAGGGGGCACAGTGACCGAGGTGGCCGGGCCGGGCCCACCAAATTTCTCATTTTCATTTATTCACTTAAGTATAGGTTTTGACTTTATAATTTTAAACACTTTTGTCATCAGCAAGCTACTGTACTGTATGTTCTTTAGTACAAAGCTTATGCCTGTCTCTTGAAACCTGTCGAGGACACCCAAAAATATGACTTTTGTCCTCTTTAACTTAAAAATAAATTGCTTTAAAATCTGAATTAAGTTTGAATTTAGGAAATATTTAGAAAAAAAAATTAATGTGATTTCTGACAAACCTGTTATCCAACATATTTGTTTACCTTTGAGTCGTGGGTGAAGGCATGCACTTCAAAATGAGCGCTGCAAAGACGAGATGATGTTGTTGGTTTCCAGTCCTTCCGTCTCATGTTCACCAACCATTGTTTCAGTCTTGCTGCTTCATGCTCACCTAAAGGAAAACTGTGCAAAAAAATAAGCAGTTTTTATCATTCATGTTTTAATTAGCTGCTTTGACAAATGGTCAATGCAAGATGCTTCACATTATTTTCATAACTTTTAAGTCATTCATTAAAATCCTTTGTAAACATAAGGATAATTTTGCAATAATAATACATTTTTGTCATCTAATCATTAAAATAATTGCAAAGGAACTGTTGATGAAAAGTAGCCTTTTGGCTAATTCGGTGCATTTACAGTTATTTTAATTTTTATTACTGCACACTGTCCGTTTTACTACTACTACTATGCGTAGGGATGGGTATCGTTAGGATTTTATTAATAGGCTACTACTATTGTCATCTTTCCTCTTATCCTCTTCTGTTAATTTGCTTAACTCAGAACATAATTGGGATTGATTTGTATTTTAAATATAACTAAAATAATAATAATAATAATAATATAGCCTAACTAAATGTGTCTCGAGCGGCAATAAGAATTTTTACAACAGCAAAATCACTATATCAACTCAAAGTCTTGATAACGATCACTTGATTTTTACGAGTCTTTTAGCTAACTTATTTAGCTGGCCCATAATATTTGCTTATAAATTAATTCGCTTATACATTTAACCTACCAGAAAAAACTCAAAGATCCATCGGACCTGCCAGATCGGTTAGTACAGTTTACTGCAGAACAACCCATTATGTCGATGTGAAATAAACAGTTATGGAAAATTAGGAAATTAAAGTTATAGCTCCAATCTCCTATAGCTCCAAACTCTGCGGACCCAAATATTATGGGTCCGCAGAGTTTAAGTTAAACAGAGAGTGATTTAATCTAGTATGCCCTATCCTAAAGATCCCGAAAAAGTCCGTTGGCGCCTCAGAGAAGCTGTCAATCTCAGCTGTCAATCATGACGTCACACTCCCGTTTTTATAGCATCACATAACTAACTAAAACCTTATTTTAAAAACGAACACTTGAACTTACATCAGCGTGATAAAATCTATATCAAATGACAAAAAACATGTTTGAAAACAAAATATTTGAAGTAAAATTTTATTATTTAGTTTGTCTCACATCCCATTAGATTACATGAAGAGGGCGGGGTTTATGACCTATACTGGGACCAGCCACCTGGGGGCGATCGAAACGCGATGGCTTCACTTTTGAGGACTAGTGAGGCACACTTGGTTCGCACGACTCTTAGCAAAAAATGAGGTTAAAGGGAAAATTAAAGAATTCATAAACAAAAAATGGCAAGAAGTATGGAACTGTGATAGCAAGGGCAGACAAATGTATAATATTCAGCAGCAAGTAGGAAATGGAAGAAGTGTTTTTAGGAATAGGAAAGAAGATACAATTATTTCTCGCGTCCGAATAGGGCATACTAGATTAAATCACTCTCTGTTTAACTTAAACTCTGCGGACCCAGATACGGGTCCAAAATCGTGTTAAAAATGTGTATGCTTCATTTACATAGCCTTCCTTATATGGTGTCAGCCCATATATGGATTCATTTGAAAGCTTGGAGTGTCTTCTTTACAAAGAATACCATTCCTTTTGGTTTTTATATTCATAAAGCAGTCAAATTAAGCTTAGAAATGTATTCGTCCCACACACGA